GCTGTGTCATTCTCTAAAAAAATTTCTGACCCCCCAAAAAAAAAAAAAAAAAAAAAAAAGAAAAAAGAAAAATAGTTCCTATGTTGTAACAATTACACACTTCAGAGTCTTAAAAAACAAGCTAGTGTTTAACCTGAGCTCTCAGCTATAAAAATAGCTTTGTTAATCTTGGCGTAATTCTGTGTTTTATTTCAAGATAAAATACATTCCTGCAGAGTCACATCTTCTTGCCACTTGTGAGTCTTTCAAACACTCAGGAGGACCACGGGAAAAAAAATGAGGTAACTTTCCATTGTAGCTGCTGGGTCAATGATCTTCAGTCCTGAGAATTACCTCTGTGTTGGAACCAACTTCTTCCTCTGCAGAAAATTGAAAATATTTTTATTAAAAGCAGGAACATTTCCTCTGAAATACCTGAAGCAACTTACGTGAGTTTATCTGAAGCACACTTATGTGAATTTACTGCACAAATTTTCACACTGCAAACAGAGTGAGAACATGGAGTAAAAATATAAAGAGGAAAAGGTAAACAAAGTACTTCACAGAAAGGCAACAGTCTCAGGGCCACCACCAGGATGTTGGGAAATAAAACCTTTCCAGTTGGCTTTGAGGAAAGGAGTGATCTCTGTGCCCCAGGTCAGCCACTGAGTCACCATTTATGAGCACTGGCACATGCTGCTGTGTCCAAAACTGAAAATAGCCCTTTCCTCACTGCTTTCCTCCTGAGTTCTTCAACTCCCCCCACCCAACCTCTCTCTAGAGGCAAAACAACTGACTGATGAGAATGGCTAAATCATTGGCAGCCAGGGAGGAAACTGCCCTAATGTTTGTCAGTGCACCTGCCTTCAAATGACTTTCAAAGCAATTTAAAACCAAACAAACACAACCAAAATCGATTCAATCACTTCTGTATATGAAACTGCACAAATGTTTGGTTATTTCTGGACCTGCTCTGCTTCAGATCTAACTGATCACAGAGATTCAGTGCCTTTTAAAAGAGAAAGAAAATGAGAATTATGCATTAGCCAGTGACTTGGAGAGCCACTCATTCTTGTCATGGATCTACAGTGGATTGTGGTGTGTTTGTTCCACCAGCTCTTTCTCACTTGAGGCAAATGTGATTATTTCTGTACGCTCAGCGTGCTCTCCCCACTCTGCTGCCTCAGCACAGGGCTCAGCACTTTTGGGGATTTGCTCCTGAAGCTTTGTAACACCAGTGGTTTCAGGATGCAAGTCACAGTGCTGGCTTCAACCTATAAACCCTCTGGCTGCTTTTACCTCAGGGCTCTTTTCAGGAACAGAAGAGCTCTCCCTGTGCACAGGAAGAGCAGAGGAAGGTTTGGCATTCCAGCTCCTCAGCACCCATCTCCCCCAGGTGCCCCATCAGCTGCACTCCTCAGAGCCCAGGGCTCTCAGAGGAGCCTCAGTGTCTCCAGGCTTAATGCAGAACCAGCAGAACTCCAAACCAGCCTGACTCCCCAGGGCACAACCAGCTGAGGGACTGCAGCTGGAATATCCAAGAGAGAACTGAGCACCAGCTCCCCACAGGATGGAGGCTGATCTGCAGCTGGAGTCACACAGTGTCACAGCCCAGCTGGCTCCCTTTGCAGGCACCAGCTTGGGCTGTGTCAGCACTGGGAGATTTTTTTTTTTTCCCCCCCCTGCCAGTTTCTCTCCCCATTGTTGCTGGTTCTTACTCAGTTTCATGTGGTGCTCAGGATTTTAACCATATCTGGTTACTCTTTTGTCCTCAGAACCAGACAAGGTGGTGCCTACTGCAAGCATCCAATCCACAATAGGAGAACAAATAATCAGAGAGTGAGAAATTTCCTGATTCAAAAAGAAAAAAACAATCTGCTGTGGGCAAGGCTGCTTTGGATATTCTGAAACAGCTCTATTCAATACATTCTACTTTTGGGGCTCTGAGCCCAGGAACAGCATCCAAAAACAGCCCTTGGCCTTGGCACTGGAAAAAACTTCCCAATCTCTCATTCAACAATGTTCACATCCTTGATCCTGTTATCTGTAACACACAGAAAGGTTTTAACTACAATAAGGAGAGTGCAAGTACTGGGGAATGAAGCTGAGATCTGACTGCCCCGAGGATGAGGAACACACTTCACAAAAGTTTAATTATTTGACTAAAGGAACTATTTGCCAACTTAATATCTGTTTGCTGTTTCAGTACTCACAAGAGTTTTATTGGAAATGCACTTAGAATCCTGTGCCAGGCCCATCTCAAAAATCCATAAAAGGTATTAATATTGCAGATGCATTTATAAAGAGGGAAGCAAACAAAAAAAGATCAAGCTGAAAACACCTTCATGCTCAGGGAACATCACAAAGAAAAAAAGGAAGCTTAGCATCTCTTTCTTCTGCAGCAGGTAACTGGCTTCTGTGAAGAGTTCCTGCAAGTTCTGTTGTTTCTATTGTAATGTAAAAACACTACATGGAAATCAAAGGACTCAAGAGAATAAAATTTCCAGAGCTGCCAGGTTCAAGCTGCTGAGCAGCAGGGGTACAGTTCTTAATTCCCCCTTCTCCTCCCCACCCCAGCAGGACACAGAACCCAACATGTACCACTTCCCCCTGATTAAATTCTAAAGGCTGTATCTCATATTTATTCCGTTCTAAATCTCAGTTTAAAACAGCCCCAGGTAAGCCTGGTTTTAAGCACAGGTTAGCTGGCCTGCATAGATTAACTCAAACACACTTGACGAGTTTTTGCCCAGAACTGCTCTGAAAGCAGATCAAAGTTCCACAGATGTGGCTCAGGATCTGCTCCCGCCACTGCACACGAGTTTGCTTCATTTTCTGTCCACTAAAGCTGAAGGAGAAGCCAATTTCCAAGCTCAAAAATGCAGCATCAGATCCTAAAGCAGAGTCATGGGCAGACAGAGGAGCTGAGCAGTGACGTGCCAAGCAGGGAGCAGGAGCCAGACAGCTGATGGGGCTGGGCAAGAGCCACAAGCAAGCACTGTGTGCAGGGAGCTTTTCAGGAATCCTCCTACTCAGGAGTCTTTGCAAAAGACTAAACTGTTGCTGTCTTTGCCACTGAATGAAATCCTGCAGAGGAACTTCTGAACAAAATATCCTTTCAGTTTATGCAAACGCTGGCACACAACCTTTACAGTCAGGCCCAGCACAGCGAAGGGTTTATGGTTCTGGATGTTATAAAAATGGCTTTGTCTGCTCCTTACAGCAACGTTGTTCTGCTCAGGTTCATCTAAGGCTAAAAGGAGTGCAACTTTTTAGAGGGAGGTGAAACGTGTGAGGATAAAGATGAGGGCTCAGCACTGCTCTGAAACCAGGAGCCTAAATCCTCCCTTTGGGATATACACCAGCACAAGTGTGCTCATTGCTAGGGACAAAAGGTACAATGTCCTTGTCAAACAAGGTAGAAATTCTTATGGATATTTACCCACCAAACAAGTGACCCTTTCTCTGATTACTTCTGCTGCCCAAATACTCAACAGGAACTTTATCAGCACTTGTGCTCATAAAATAAACTGCTATGACAGCTACATACAGGTTCTTTTCTTTGACCACTGAATATATTCTCTGACCCTGCAATGAAGGAGCTACAACTACTAACCCACAAGAACTCTGCCTTTATTTAAGCTGAGCTTCTGGTTTAAATTCACATCCAAAGTATCCAATATATTCCCTATACTGCCCTCCTTTCCATGAATATTATAATAAACCAGTTCTGACTGTGAGTCTCTGGGACAGCAGAGCAGCGAGTGTGTGCTGAGCCTGAGAAATCACCTAATTTGCTTCAAGTCAGAAAGAACCAGTGTTCACTTTTTTCTAGACCTCCTACAGCTTGCCCCAAAATGACTTCTGCCTTCCATCTGTTCAGACACATGCAGGAGTTCAAATCCTGTCATGACCTTGAGCAGCCAAACAGAATCCCATAAAAAATTCAAGCACTAAGGCACGCAGGAATCGTCTCTTCATAACCAATATCCTCCTCATGCTTTGCTAATGCAGTGCAAGCCAAGCAAAAGGGAAAGAATGTTCCCAATCCGCATCCCTGAGACCTCAGTCTTGTCCTGGGAGAGCAATCTGTACCTTGTTCATGTTGCTGGTGTTGGGAATGCTTGTGTGGAGAAGGCTGAGCTCCAGATCAGTCAGCATCTGTCGGGACTGGGCCAACGAGCGCTCCAGCTTCCAGAACAGGGAACTGGTGTCCTGCAGGAAACACAGAGGGAGCCAAAGCTAGGGAAGGATCTTTTTTTGGAGGATTTCAAAGAATTACAGTGCACCAAGAATCAGCATTTTGATTTTTAAATGTTTCTGTTCAAAATACTGCAAGTTAACAGGCTGTGTCTGATTGCTGGTGTTTCTATAAACACAGAGCTCTCTCCTAGTGCCATTTTTAACAGATTTCCACATGCAGGTATATGGAGCACTCACAAGAGAGGTACTTCAGGGATAAAGGGGAGAATAAAGACATGAGAAAGAGGGAAAACCAAGCAGAACAGGAAAGAAATCATGTCCAATAGCTTCTGATAAGTGCATCCATGTGTACCCAGATATTTAGTGGAATTACCAATTAGCCAGCATACATCTTCCTGAAGCTCTTAATTCCAAAACCTTATTAATTTTTTAAAAAACTCATTTATACTTATGCTGTCCAAGACACATTGACGAGGAGCTATTTTTTAAAAAAAAATGTTATCACCTTTGCCATAAGCCTGCTATCTCATAATTTGAGTCCCCAGTTCCTCCATGCCTGGAGACATTTGCATTCCTACCATCAGTCATAATTCCCCATAACTCCCCTCAAAATCAGTCAAGGACATGGTGTAATAAGATACTGACTGTGTTCATGCAGTATCTCTTTGTTGGTTTAGTCACTGCCAGGTCATTGATGTCCAGAGGGGAATCTTCATCAGAGAATTCCCCAGAACCTTGAGCCAGGTTGCTCTTCTCAGTGGATGCCAAGAGAGGAGAAGCCAAGTGGAGGGAATTCAGATCCACGTTTTCTTCACTGTTAAAAAAAAAAAAAATACATTGGCGGAAACAGCATCACCACCCTTTTTAAACTTTCAAGGGAAAATCATGGCACAACATAAATAACTGTGGGCCCTGAGCCAAGGAATCCAAGAAGCTTGGGAGATTACCCTGTTCCTCAGAGCATTCCCATGTTTAACAGCTTCCCTAGATCAGTTTCATCCTCTGAGGACGAGGGTTTGACATTCAACCAGCCTCAACCAGCTCCATGACCATGTGCTTGAGTGTGTATTTAACCTTGCAAAGAGCACATGAAAGGCAGAACTTTGTTCTTCCCAATACTCTGCTACTCATGCCCCTCTCACACCCAAATCCTTCTAATTTGGTTCTAATCAAGCATTAGGCAAATTAATATTTGTGGGTGTACCTTTCAAGGGAATTTCGCAGTGTTTTACAGTCATCATCTCACTTCAGAGATCACAGGAGAGCTTTCCCAAAGAGGCTTGGATGTATTTATTTTTAAATACAAACCATCAGCAAACCACATTCATCAGCTTTTGAACACAACAGAAGCAGAGTGCTAGCCCTGCCTGGACTGGCAAATAATGAAAAAAGATGTGTGAAAAAAGCAAATATTGTCTTTGAATTGATGGCATTTCAGTAGATACTCTTTAGCTACTTATTTTGGTGTAACAATGCACTGGCAAATAATGAAAAAAGATGTGTATTTTAAAGCAAATATTGTCTTTGAATTGATGACATTTCAGTAGATACTCTTTAGCTACTTATTTTGGTGTAACAATGCAGTCCATACCTGGCAAGACTGTTAAAAATAGGTATATTTTTAACTGACATTCAATCTAGGAAAAAGCCCTCATGAGAGTTGCCAGCTCACAAGTGTCTGCTGTGTCCCACTTTACCTCTCCCATAAAACACTGGGATTAAACAGGCTCTCTTTAAGAGAGAAAAGCTCATGTCTGTGTTTCTGACAAGGAAAGGTTCTGTGGAGACATGAGGGAACAAGCAGCCTGGAACAGAGATGTGGGGAGATGAGATGAGATGAGCAGGGCCTGTCCTGGAAAACACACAGGCTGGAAAGAAAGGGGACACAGGTTTGGTTTTGAGGCAGGGAAATGGCTCAGGGATGAGTGGCTTAGTCCAGCCCAGGCAGACTCAACAAGTACCTGCTGATGCTCCATCTGTAAAATGAGAATTGAGATAAAAATCCAAAGGCAGCAAATGTTGGCCCAACATAAATGAAGTCACTAAGAGCACACAGAAATGATTCCTGCACCCTGGGATTTCACAATCCCCTCTGCCATTGGGGAAGGCATTTGACTGTTAACAGCCTCCTTGTTGGCCGTTCCAGAACTCAGGAACTCATGGCAAAAATATTTGCTGGGATGACAGGGAGGTGCCAGCACCCTTCCCTAAACACAAACTACATCATCAGCACTCTGAAAGCAGCAATGGAAAACTGGAGGATCCAGATCCAAGTCCCAGGAGGAATGTTGTGCTGGTCTCTGCCATTAATCCCTTCACAGAAGCAATGCTCCTGCCTTCCTCCCATTTAGGGGTGAGGATTTATTGCCTGGCAAATCCGAGTCAGCAGAGCTGGAGAGCAGACAGTCAGGGATTTGCACTGAGTCAATCCATCTCCAATTAGCAGGGCCCCAGGACCAAATGTGGGCATCAAGAAAACTGGAGAGCTCAGCAGCAAATCCCAAATGGGTAGCACAGCTCCCCCCTAACTGGAGAATATCTTCTAGCTGCACTGCCCAGGTTGAATTTGTTCCTTTCCCCTTAAAATTCACTCAAGGACAAGACAAATAGGGAAAGACAAAAAGTGAAAGCAGCTTTCATGATGCAGCCTCAAAAGGGATTTGGAGGGATGGCAGTGTGTCATTGGTGCTGCTGGGGGAGCTGATAAGGAAGGTCAGGGTAGACAGAAGGGGAGTGGAGTCTTTCCAAGGATTTATAGGCAGTGGAAACTAGAGAGAGCCCACATGGAGTGTGAAGCTCAGCTAAGGCACATGGGAATGTGCCAGGCCAGCATTCTTTTTCAGTGGCTGCCCATTCACCTTGTTTCTGAACCTCACTGCAGCAACAATTCCTACAATATTTCTGTTTCAAAAGCCACACAGAATGAAAGCATCCATACATCAGATCTTTCCATTCCATAACATTAATCTGTTTGGATGCTGGGCAGGCTTGCTGGCAAACACTGTGAGCAGGTTTAAACAGCTGTTCATTTACTGTGCTTGTCAAACCACCAGCTGGAAGGCTCCTCTCCTCTGGCTAAAAAGCAGCTATGAAATTGCTGTGAAACTTCAGAAATCCTTCTAAAACAGAGCTGGGTAAATCAATTTTTTGAACAGAAATAGAGGAACCAACAGAACAAATCCACAGCAAGTCCCAGCTCTGAATGCCTTTGCTTATGCAGGCACAAAGCCACTTCTGTAAACGCAGAGCAGGTTTTTTATCTTGGAGACATTCCAACATCACTGAGGCACCTGAGTCTTCTTCTGACACTTCTCAGCACTAGGAACCTCATCCTGCTTGTCCCCAACCACATGTCCTTCTCCTCCCACAGCACAAACAGAAGGATAGAGTCCCACGAGCTGCAGAGTGGACAGATTGCTGTCCTTTACATCTTGCCATCTCATTTCTTGCCCTGACAGAGGCAGCAGCCTGTGCTCAGAGCTGTGTCCTACATTCTTGCCCGCCCAAGATGTGATTTCTCAACAGAAATAACACGGTCACTAAAGCATCACACAAAACCTGCATCTGTTTCTTGCCTCATAGAAACAACACTATACAAATCCAGCTCTGGTCAGAACATATTTTACCCATCAGAGTTATGAGCAACACCTGGGATTTCAAAAAATTTTAAGATTTTCTCAATTAGTTTATTTGGCTAAGTTATATGGCATTGCAGCTTCTCCTGCCCACACAGCTCTTGGGGATAAGAGAGGAGAAAAAACAAATACATAAAAATAGAATCACAATACTTTAAGAGCTATTTTTATTTTAAATTTGTTACTTTTCAGGTTGAAAAACTAAATTTAAAACAGCAATTACTCTAAACATAGCTTGAGCTAATACTGAAGCTTATACACCTAAGTTTCTACACAGCCTAGCTTATGCTTATTTCTTAAAGGCAACAAACTCATAACCTTTGTGAGCAGGTACATTTCATCTCTTGTGCAGTCTCCAAACAGCTGTAATCTCCTCCATGGTGGGTATTTTCATCTCTCTTTTTGGGTTTGAAAATCTCCAGCCATTCCAGATCTGAGAGTGGCTTCCACCGTGTATCTTTATTCACAATGAAGTTATTAATACTGGAATCAGAGTCAGACTTGCAAGTGACAGGAGTCTCTCTGCTTTTTTGGCCAGACTCAGTGTCAGATCTCTCTTCCCAGGTTTTGTTTCCATTATCAGTTTTGTCAGACGTGGAGCTGTTCTGGATTAAAGTGCTTTGCAAATCTACACGAGATTTGATTTTAAGCCAACGATCATATGAAGGCAAAGACACCTCAAAGGATTTTTGGTCTCTGCTTTTCACTTCATTCTCTCCAATTTCCCCATTTCTCAATGGCCTTGTGTTGTTTACCTCATGAGATTTTTCACTGTCTAGCTCATCAAAGCTTGATGCAACATCCTGCTTTTCTCCTTCTTCCACAGGCAGGGCCAAGCCTTTCACAGCTTTTTGACACTGGTTTAACAACGCTGAGGCAGCTTCCTCCAAGTCTGAAGCATTCAGTAACTGTCTATTATCTACTTCACACATCTCAGGGGTGGGTTTTACCCTACTTGCTGGAACTGGTGCAGTTCCACACTCCTCGCACATCCTGTGGCTGCCCTCAGTCCTACCCTTGTCTGTCTCGCTGGGGCTTTCAGAGGCAGAGAATGTGGCCCCTGAGCTACAACAGCACGACAAAAACAAGTCAGAAACACTGCAGGTAAAGAGCATCCCCAAGTGCACTCCTAAAGCTCTACAGAACACAGGCTCTGCCACGGTTCTGCAGCAGCTCACACACCACCAGGCAGCTGTATCCTGCCAAAACCCCACAGAGAATCTGCCCAGATTTGGCTGTTACTTTTCAAAATCAGTCTGAGAGCTCCCTCATGTTTTAATCACAGTATGGTGATTCTGTCTGAACCTCCAGGGTGTGCACCAATTCTCTAAGTTTACTTCCTAAAATAAACTTTGCTTTTTAAATAAAAGTAGTGGGAGCCAGGTTAACACCCCTACCACCAGACTAGTTCACTTTCTAAAAAAAATCATGAGCTGTCTGGCCTGCTACAACACTTGCTCTGTGACTGGTGTTCATGGTCTCTCCTGACCAAAAAAAACACAAGGTTCTTGACAGCTTCACTGGATGTTTGTGGTCAAGTCCAGCAAAGGCATCCTGACCCAGCACACACCCCTGTTAGGATGTTAGCTAGGGCTGAACAGTGAAGTCTCTCTTTGAGGACAAACTATTTAAGAAAAAAAAACATTTAAAAATGTCTTTACCTCTTTCCACTTGATGCATTTTCATGTTTTTGCCTGGAGTCCAGGGAGCTATCAAAGTTGACATGAAGGAAGTGCAAGTCTCGCTGCTGTTTTACACAGACCTGTCAGAGGCAGTGAGGGGCACAGGTGAATGTCTGGGTGCAGGAACATCATCATCAGGTAGTACCACAGTGCTTGTCTTCCAAAAACATCCTTAAAATGTTTGTATAAACCAGTGCCTGTGGCCAAATTATTGACAAAGACTTCCAAATCTAAGAGAAGAACTCTGCATCTATTTAGGAAAATAAGGTTTTGTAGCAATAAACAGGATTTCTATTAGAAGATGAGAATATTCTTCTAAGATGGAACCCCATTGAACAATAAATAAAATATCATTACTGTTACCTGATATTTAATGCATGTTCTTATTACGTTGTTCACAGCTACAGAACTACAGGACATGGATGATCATGGGATTTGGCTTTCACTGCAGGGGATTTTTGTGAAGCTAATGGAGAAGGTAACTACCCATCAATTATTTGCAATTTAAAAAATGGAACATGCTTTGAGAACCTCAGCTGAGAGCAGGTGAACACACAGGGTTTAGGTTGTGAAAAACAGATCTGCCAGGACACTGTGTCCCTTATCTGCTGAGTTCACCTTGGGCAGGTGTGTGATCCCAATCCTGCTGCCCTTCACGTGACCTCCCAAGCCTGGAAACACCATGGGCTTTTCAGCTTAACCCCAAATGAAATAAATCAACATTCTATAGGGATCCCAGCAAGGCACAAACAGATTTTTGTTCCTTAATCAATACTATCTAGATCTAACTTTTATACACTGTTCCACACAGGTCTGATGATCCTGAAAATGCTCCTCTGACCTCGGAGCAGGAACACAACCAGGGCTGTACCTGTCGCAAACTGGACAATTCTTTTTCAATCCGCACTTGCTTCGACTTGGCAAACTGAAAAAGCTGATCCTTTCTCTGGGCTTCTTCCACTGTTTCAAAAGATAGTAATTATTTTTATTACTTCAGGTGAACAGACACAAAGCAAGTGCATTGCTAATGCTGTGTCTTTAGCAGTAGGAGGTGGTACTGAAACAAAACAAAAACATTTTCCTAAGATCAACAGGACCTGTTTCTCCTCCAGATAAAAAGAGCACAAAAGTCACAAGAAAACAAAAATTCAGGTATTTTCCTTGGACTTTTCCTCAGCATGTGGTTTCATTTTACTAGCAGCAATACTGTGCTTCACTGACTGATTTAGTTAATGTTTTTAGAAAGGGAAAGGGAAAAGGAGAAAAAAAAAGAGGAAATCAAAATGGAAATTCAGTTAAAATTAATTTTAATTCATGCACGTAAAGAGAAGTGCAGCAAAACAATTCCCAATTTTATTGGTTTTAAAATAATGAGACATGGCATCAATATCTGACAAAGGTCAAACCGCAGACTAAAAATGATAGGCATGGAAATTATCTGACAGCAGAGGACACCTTTGGCCACCTAACCTTTCAAGGTCTCTGTGCTTATCCCCAAGAATATTGCAGTGACCTTTCCTATCCACTGCAGCACCAGATGTTCTTCCACCCAAAACCAAAGGTATTATTATGGAGAGCAAGATGCAGTTTACCAAGGCCTGCATATTAAACCAGCCTAAACCAATCCCATCACCAAAAGAAAGCAACAGAGAAGAGAAAGTCTCAACATTTTCAGGAGAGAGTCCCCTGAGCCACTCACTCCTCCCTGTGTAATCACTTTGGTGAACTTTGTGCTTTCACAAGATTTTATAAAGTGTCTCTGCAGAAGCCCCAAATATTGCTTCCATAGAAGAATGGCACACAAGGGATATACTTTTATTAAACTGCAAGGAAGGCAGGTAACAAGCTGCCTCCTTCACAGATATCAGTGAATTGCTGCCCAGAAGTCTCTGAGCCGTTGAAAGCCAAGGCATGAAAGGCCAACTGCCCACCCTCACCTGCCAGTATCAGCTCACTCCTCAAGCAGCCATTTTCTTGCTTCAGGTGACTGATTTCTTCCTGGTTCTTGCTGCTTTCTTTCATCTTTTCAGAGAGGATATCTGCAAAACAAAATGTAGCATTTCCCAGAGTGAAAAGGAATCGTGCTGGCCTACACTAAATTAGGTGCCCAGCAGAAACATTTACCTTTCATCTTATTTACTTGACACATGACATCGTTCAGTGTCACCTTGAGGTCCTGGTGCTCCCTGCTGCGACTGAATTCATCGAACTTTGCTGTACGCAGAGCATTCTCCAGTGTTTTAAATTTAGATGTAACCTCAGTAATCTGATCAGTTGTTTCAATTAAGGCCTTGTCCTTAAATAGGAAACACAATGAATTCTTATTTTTAATATCATGGGTGGGTTTGGACAAAACAACAGTACATCCTTCTGCAGTAAAGTGATCCACAGACTTCCTTCTGAGATTTTGAGGAAAAAAAACCCCACCAAATTAAATCTTGGAAACAAGCTTGTTTGTGAAAACAAACCAGTTTATTGCTGTCCATTTTTCCCTTCCCAAACAAGCCTAAGAATTAACCATGAGTGAGATCAGCAGGGACAGAAGCCTTGTGGCACAGTCACCAACAGCTGCACTGCAGCTTGACCACATTTTAGTGCCCATGAGTTGACAGATGTTACCTTCATCTGAAGCATAGAGAGAAGCTCCTGTTCCCTTGCTTGCAGCTGGCCTGTTTTAGCAGACAGCTCCAAAACTGAGCAGTGGAGACTCTGATTTTTCTCCTAGTGAACAGAAATAAGTGCCAGCCATTACTTCAGTGATTCAAACTTATTATTTTTTCCCAGTAAATGTGTCCACAAAGTTATTTAAACATCGTGAGTGGCAACGTGGGATCCTGAGCAACATGGAGAAAAGAGGACTGGAGGAAAAATTGTTCCCCAACTTGCTTGTGATCAAGGGTCTTAATACCCTGCATGTCTCAGTTTTGGAATGTAACAGTTAATCACAGGCATCCTGTAAATGCATGGACTACAAAACCAGACCATCACTCAATCCCTACCTCCAGAGCCTGGCAGTGAACAGATGAATCTGTTACTTTTTGAGTGAGCTCTTTAAACTTCTGTTGTGTGCTTTCAAGTGTTATCTTACTGTCATTACGCTGGGATTCTAATAACTTTAACTTTTTGGTCAGTGATTTTATAACTGCATTTCTCTCATTCAGCTCATCTGAAAAGGAAGGAGACAAAGTTACACGTGAGAAATGAGCTCAGAGGCTGTCATGCAATTTCTTAAATCTCATAAATAATTTCACCCAGTGTTTTAAAATCACACAATTCAGACCTGGATGCTTATGTTGCACACTCTGAAGGAGGATTCCCTGGCTACCCAGGTCAGATGGAACAGGAACTGCGTGGTGGGCTCTGTACTGAGGCTGCTCAGAGCCAGCAGGTGTTTTGCTGGGTGGTTTCTGTTTGCTCAGAGCTGTGCAGCAGAACCTCAGGGCACAGGGCTCTGTAACTCGCCAGCAGGCTGCACATTTTTCTCTTCCCCCACATTTATTTAATCAGACTATTTTTTAAAGAATTCACAGAAGCAATTCACACATTCAGACAAGAAAGAGTCTGATCATCACACTCCCTTCAAGATCAGATCACTTCAGCACCAGCATGGAAGTTTATGTCTCAGAGAAACAATAAAATTTTAGGCTGAAGGGTAGGAAATGTTCCTTATATGATGCAAAACTGTTACTGAAGGGCTGAAGCACCTGAAAATCTTATAAGAGCAAGATGTCATTCTTTACATCACAACACTTACTAGTTAATAGGCTGCATTGCTCTGCTAAAGTCAGTATTTTTTGGCGATCATCTTCCCAGGCCTGAATGTGTCTCTCATGCACTGCCACCATGTCATTGAGCTCCTTGTCACGATCTTTCAGTTCTGCAATTAAAAGCTTGAGCTCCTGTCTCTGCCTCCTAATGATGCTGCTCTTGTGATCGGGGCTAAAGGCCTACAAAAAGCCAGACATGGAATGCATTTCAACACCAGGAAGTGAAAAATTCTCCCATAATAAACTCGAGGGGTTTATTTTTAGTTGAGCTATGTTAATATTATAAATAGAACCCATTCCAAGAAGTTCCTTACGCTCGTGGTACCACCTGTGGCCCGTGACTGAAGCCCTTCTCCGAACAAGGTGGTACCACCTGTGCTCCATGACTCAACCCGGCAGCAGCACAATGAGTACCCTGCTACCGAAAACAGAGCCGATTGCTAACGGCACTTTCATCTTTTACCTGGGGCGAAGCAGAACGCTCTAGTGATGAACTCATAGGGGACTGGGGGCCAGAGCTCTGCCAGGCATTCGTGGAACCGGGAATACTTCGAGGATGTCACGTTCGGCATGGAGGCTCCCCCGCCGCACACAAGCGCCGGCCCTGAGGGGGCACAAGCGGCGTTAGGGCGGGCGGGCCGGGGCCGCAGGCCTGAGGCGGGGCCCTGCGGTACCACCCCCGGGGAGCGACCCCCGCTCCCGGGCAGGGCTCCCCCGCTGCCCCGCCCGGCTGGGAGGCTTTTCCTAAGCCCAGGGGCTTTCCCTGCCCTCCTTCAGTGTCACCT